GGCGGGTATTCTAGAGTATGAGCAAACGCAGGGGTCCTTGCGGACGAAGCGGTTTCCCTGGGTGCGATAGCGTGCACCAAGTCCTTGCGGACGAAGCGGTTTCCCTGGGTGCGGTAGCGTGCACCAAGTCCTTGCGGACGAAGCGTTTCCTGGGTGCGTTAGAGTGCACCAAGTCCTTGCGGACGAAGCGTTTCCTGGGTGCGTTAGAGTGCACCAAGTCCTTGCGGACGAAGCGGTTTTCCAAAAACTTCGAGCCTCCCTCGTCTCGGATAATGCAATCGCCTCGAGAAAGAGTACTCACACGCGTTATCGATCAAACAAACAAAAGAACGTTCACCAAACTACGGACCGTGAAGGACGAGCGGCGCGTAGCGAAGCACTCGAACAAAGACGAGATTCGTCCCAGTGTTGCCAGATGATTCGCGTGACAACTCTCTAAACATATTTCGTTTTCCCCTAAAAATCCCCTACAAATTGGCCGTTCGACCATATTGCGAACAGCGCCCATGAAATGAGATCACAATTATGCTTGCGTTCGTTTTCTCCCAATGGGAGCATAAATTATACCGAAAGTCTATAATTAACGTAACGTAAACTATAGAGTTTCAGTATTATACCTAAATAGGATTTGGAAATAAGTCGATAATCAATATCAATATAGATAATATAATATATATTTATATATTAATATATAAATAAAAGAGATATTATTGTTAGGTTTGTTCCGGTTCAGCGCAATTGGAGTGGATTTTTGCAATTTTAATACAAATAAAAAGAAAATTCCCGGAAAATTACAATCTCCTAAAAAATACCCCCAAAAAATTTTTCCCCTGTTTGTCCCCTAATTCGATTTAAAAAACCCTAAATTTAGGGGGAAATCCCCTAATCTGGCAACACTGCTTCGTCCAAGGCTTGACCTCTTGTCGAAAAGCGCGGACCATGGAGAGGGCCCATGTCAGATTGCGCATCTGATTGGTGGAGAGAGCGGCTCATCGAGAGGTTTCGTGCGAATTGAGTTGGTACAGAGCGCGGACCATGAAGAAGGACCTTGCCTGATTGGCTGGAAGTGCGGGCCGTAGAAGCGGTCCGCACGAGTCGAGTAGGTGTAGAGCGCGGACCATGAAGAAGGACCATCTTTTCGCAAATCCCAGATTGCATGGGTTTTAATCGTTTCTCCAAACATTCACATATATATTTACTTATTTTAAACCTTACCTATTATATTGCATATTGTAAAATGCTGTCAGATAATACTTCTACTTTCACTGTTGCATAGAATGTATAACGGTGAAGTAAGATAACGATGTCTTCGTTAACTGGAATACAATGTAAACTAGAAAAGAAAGTCTTATACGATACTATTTATGCCGAATGTCGAATATGCACGCAATATGTTGAACGTAACATACAATACATATACTTATTTTTTACCGTGGCGAATAGTTCGATGGAGAATGAAAACAGTCCACCAATAGACGGACAGAAAGGTTTGGTGCCATTTTGCAAGATAAACAGTATCATTTTTTGTATGTACGTAGGTGTTACGTACCAACGAACAGTGTATCTAGAAAGTAACAATTGAAGCAATCAAAAATTGGAAAAAATAAAATCAATACCAATTTTCGTTATGAATACCTAAGTGAATTTTAAGGCAACCAAATTTTCTTTTAATTGAAAAAACTAATTTTAATTGAGAAATTCTAACTCGTCAAATTATTATTTACATTATTTTAACATACTACTAAAATGGACAATACTTTAATCACTGACAGACAATCGGAGTCTTGAAAAAACGATAATCACGACGACAAACGATAAATAACTCTATAAACGCACATTATTGTATTTTAAAATTTAAATATTTTTAACTGTTTGGACACAACGTTAAAAATATCTTAAAATTGGACACTGGCTATTTTTTAAGCACTTTGTGTTTTGTACTCTTTAAGATACAAACAAAATAACACATGGTGTACATAGGTTCAAACGAAATAAAATTGGACTACAATATATTAATTTGTATCTCTTGATAAAGTCGAGCGCCAAGTTTACGTCGGTAATTCTTACGCGGTAAGAAATACGTGATTGTTGTAATCGGTAATTTCTTGTCCAGCATAACTGGGTATAAACAACATTATAAAAATTGCAATGGTATTTAGAAGATGCATATATAACATACATAACATTGCTCGATCTCGCCGTCACGTGACATAGTTTCAGATAACTAAAACATAAGTAATTAATGTTTTACGTACATTTATTCCAAATAAATTATTCTAGACACGATAACAACAAAAATCTTTTAATTTAGATATTATGTTGCAAATAATTCTTTTAATTACAAAATCAAAGTCAAAATAGTCATTTAATATTACATTAACATTACATCTAATAACGTAAAAACTCACTCTATAAAGATTGCAGCTCAAACAAATTACACCAGCTACTGTTACACCAAGTAGTAATCCTTTAAAGGCGGAACATACGAGCATAATAAAACTTTAAGAAAAAGAAAATATTATTACGTGCATTTATTATTTTTGTTAGGTAAGAAATACTAACTGGACAGCTTGGCGATGAATATCGACAGCACGTACAATTTCCTTACAAATTATAATCTCATTTTCCAAGCTAATATTCTTCAGCATGTTTATCATCATTGCCTTTTCGATGCGGTAACTGTAAAATTTTTTTGTTACGCACAATTAACCAAACACAAAAAGAAAAATGATTTGTTTTTATATTTTATATTGTCTAGAAAAATGTTTTCAATCGGTATAAGAAAAAACAGAAAAGGCTAGTTAAAAAAAGTGATATGTTCAAAATAGTTTTCCTCTACATTATATGTATAAAAAAATCGCGAAACATATCTACAATTTAGTATAATAATATTTATTCTACCAAAATAGACACTCCTGTAATAAGAGAACTATGTCACACAATCAAATAATTATTAATGTCTTCACCTGGCTATTCTAAATATTCCACAGGTATGTTTGAGATATGACACAAGCATCATTCCTGTTGCTACTACAGCAGTACCTCCTATGGAAGCAGTTGCGAAAAAAACAGGAATTATTAAATATAGAATGCTTTCTCGCCCAATGAAGAATTTAGGTAGAAGTTGCATAACGTAATTTTGCTTAACGTTACGTGATTCAGACTTGTCTACGAGCAAGGTATCAACAAGTTGCAGTAAAAACGTCAATAACAGAGCAGTAATTACAAAGCCAACTTGAAACGCTAAGATATAAAAAGAAGAATTTTTTTACAACATTGCTTCTCTTATTTCTTCGAATAATATTGTTTCAAGCTTTATCATGCATTAACCAATTCACAGTGTTAACGCAAGCTAATAATCCCAAAAAGTGTCCAATTTTATCACTTAAATTAATTATACTACTATTAATATAATACAATTATTATATTAATATTAATATTAATATAATAATTGGAAACAAACAATCTTATCGTGTTAATATACTTTTATTCCATTTTATTCTTAAAATGGTATAAAAGTATATTAAAAAATTTTTACTTATGCGACATCCTTTAATATGTTAACATAAATAGTACAATGGTTAACGCGATTATTCTGACGATCGCAAACTAGTTCACTTGATAAGTGATTAGATATTAATAAATGTTGTCTTACACATCATTATAGCCGTGAGACGTTTTGCGATGTTTCCATATTTTGTTACAATAGCGATCTCATTCTCATCTTTTAGATCGTTATAAATATGCTGAAGTTTATACATTAACCACCTTATCTATTATACCAATAATTCTTCTTAACAACGTACCGTTAAATTTAGAAAACATGTTATGTATTATATTAAAAAAGCTTCAATGTTTGAAAATACTAAATTTAAATATAACTTACAGTATGAGCATTAACATAACAAGAATGGTATGCAATCGTAAATATAATATAAATTAATGCGATAGAAAGAACATTGACGACAAGCGATGGAGTACATTTTGTAAACGCAAATGTTGCAAACTAAAACCAAAACATTTATTTCAAAATTAACAGTACACGATTCTTCTATTTAATTAACTAATTAGAAATCTAAAATATTGAGCTGTATAACAACAGCACAGTTGCACATATGGATGTACATACCAGGTATGTAATACAGCCAAACAGAAGAGACAAAATCAAAATTGCCTGAAGTTCAACGAGTTTTGTTCGTTTATAAGGCCACAAGCCAATCGAGAGTAGAAGAATCCGATGGAATCTAAAATAGGTATTGATGCAAATCATCACTCTACGAGAAACAGTACGCGTTTGACTGCAAAAACGTACTGAAGAAGATTCGCATATCCCACTCTCTCAAATATTCAGAATATTACATAATTTTTCTTCTTTAGCGTAAATACTAAATTGCTTAATTTTGCATAAATTTAACATGAGGTGGTAGACAAATTGCCATCGTGAGATTCGGACACTCGCAGTTTGATGGAAACGCACGTTTTGCATGGAAAAAAGTACGAGTGATTAAGCGATCGATAGAGAAGACGTCGAGGGAGAGTCACCTGCGATGCTTATTTCCCGTAAAAAGAACGCTTACACCACACTTCTTCATCAAAGTTCACGCAAGCGCAGTTGTCCTTTCTCATCGTGGAAGTTTTATACTTCATTCCACTGTTCCGCTAACTTATAAGACGTGTAGTAACCCGACCTACTGTCAAGCGTGAGCGCGCGGTGAGACGCGTCCGCCCATCGGCCGCCACTCGACGCGGTGCGCGGCGAAGGGTAAGTTTTGATAATTTTTACCTTGGCGAAAAGCTCCAGAGACATTACGAACAATCCGCCAACATTCGGGGTAACAATTCTGTTGCCCCTTTGCAAAAGACACAGTATTAAAATTTGAACACATGCAAAGGTGCTACATACCACCGAACGTTGTACCTGCATTCGGATAAAAATATACTAGTCAAATGTATCCAGGTTTGATGATTAAAAATAAGTAACTCTAAGTTAGTATCATTAAACTTTTATTGGATTCTCTATTTATTATTTATCATTTACTAGATAATCTATTTATCTCGCCCCTACAAAAACATATATTAAATATGTTACAGGTTATAACAGCCGTAAAACGCTTAGCATTATTTCCGTATTACTTTATGATAGGGATTTCGTTCTCATCTTTTAACGTGTTACAAATATGCTGAAGTTGTTTCATCAAGAACTTTACCTATAGGGTCAACAATACATTAGTTAAATAGTTAATAAAATACGGAATATTGTAAACTGCAAATCATCGAACTGTTCACTAGCGACACCTAAAAGATTTAAATATTCTCGCGCAGATCATACTAAATCGCATTAATAAATTTTCTCGATATATTAAATCGACAACTGATATATTTCACATATATATTTACTTGGTTTAAACCTTACCTATTATATTGCATATTGTAAAATGCTGTCAGATAATACTTCTACTTTCACTGTTGCATAGAATGTATAACGGTGAAGTAAGATAACGATGCCTTCGTTAACTGGAATACAATGTAAACTAGAAAAGAATGTCTTGTACGATACTATTTATGCCGAATGCACGCAACATGTTGAAAGTAACATACAATACATATAGTTATTTTTTACCGTGGCGAATAGTTCGATGGAGAATGAAAACAGTCCAGCAATAGACGGACAGAAAGGTTTGGTGCCATTTTGCAAGATAAACAGTATCATTTTTTGTATGTACGTAGGTGTTACGTACCAACGAACAGTGTATCTAGAAAGTAACAATTAAAGCAATCAAAAATTGGAAAAAATGAAATCAATACCAATTTTCGTTATGAGTGCCTAAGTGAATTTTAAGGCAACCAAATTTTCTTTTAATTGAGAAAACTTATTTTAATTGAGAAATTCTAACTCGTCAAATTATTATTTACATTATTTTAACATACTACTGAAATGGACAATACTTTAATCACTGACAGACAATCGGAGTCTTGAAAAAATGTTAATCACGACGACAAACGATAAATAACTCTGTAAACGCATATTATTGTATTTTAAAATTTAAATATTTTTAACTGTTTGGACACAACGTTAAAAATATCTTAAAATTGGATACTGGCTATTTTTTTAAGCACTTTGTGTTTTGTACTCTTTAAGATACAAACAAAATAACACATGGTGTACATTGGTTCAAACGAAATAAAAATGGACTACAATATATCAATTTGTATCTCTTGATAAAGTCGAGCGCCAAGTTCACGTCGGTAATTCTTACGCGGTAAGAAATACGTGATTATTGTAATCGGTAACTTCTTGTCCGGCATAATTGGTTATAAACAAGATTATAAAAATTGCAATGGTAATTAAAAGATGCATATAACATTGCTCGATCTCGCCGTCACGTGACATAGTTTCAGATAACTAAAACATAAAGTAATTAATGTTTTACGTACATATATTATTATTTTACAATAAATTATTCTAGACAAGTTTGCAACAAAATCTTTTAAATTTAGATATTACGATGTTAATAATTCTTTCAATTACAAAGTCAAGTCAAAAGAATCATTTAATATTACATTAACATTACATCTAATAACGTAGAAACTCACTCTATAAAGATTGCAGCTCAAACAAATTACACCAACTACTGTTACACCAAGTAGTAATCCTTTAAAAGCGGAATATACGAGTATAATAAAACTTTAACAAAAAGAAAATATTATTACGTGCATTTATTATTGTTGTTAGGTAAGAAATACTAACTGGACAGCTTGGCGATGAATATCGACAGCACGTACAATAGCCTTACAAATTATAATCTCATTTTCCAAGCTAATATTCTTCAGCATGTTTATCATCATTGCCTTTTCGATGCGGTAACTGTAAACATTTTTTTGTTACACACAATTAACCAAACACAAAAAGAAAAATGATTTGTTTTTATATTTTATATTGTCTAGAAAAATGTTTTCAATCGTCATAAGAAAAACAGAAAAGGCTAGTTAAAAAAAGTGATATGTTCAAAATAGTTTTCCTCTACATTATATGTATAAAAAAATCACGAAACATATCTACAATTTAGTATAATAATATTTATTCTACCAAAATAGACACTCCTGTAATAAGAGAACTATGTTAGACAATCAAATAATTATTAATGTCTTCACCTGGCTATTCTAAACATTCCACAGGTATGTTTGAGGTATGTCACAAACATCATTCCTGTTGCTACTACAGCAGTACCTCCTATAGAAGCAGATGCGATAAAAACAGGAATTATTAAATATAGACTGCTTTCTCGCCCAATGAAGAATTTAGGTACAACTTGCATAACGTAATTTTGCATAACGTTACGTGATTCAGACTTGTCTACGAGCAAGGTAGTATCAAGAAGTTGCAGTAAAAACGTCAATAACAGGATAGTAATTACAGAGCAAACTGCAAACACTAAGATATAAAAAGAAGAAATTTTTTTACAACATTGCTTCTCTTATTTTTTTCGAATAATATTGTTTCAGGCTATTTCGTGCATTAACCAATTCACAATGTTAATGCAAGCTAATAATCTCAAAGTGTCCAAATTTATCATTTAAATTAATTATTCAACTATTAATATTAATATTAATATAATAATTGGAAACAAAAAATCTTATCGTGCTAATATACCTTCATTCCATTTTCTTAAAATTTTTACTTACGCGACATCCTTTAATATGTTAACATAGGTAAATAGTAAAATGGTTAAGGCGATTTTTCTGACGATCGCAAACTAGTTCGCTTCATAAGTGATTAAATATTAATAAATGTTGTCTTACACATCATTATAGCCGTGATACGGTTCGCGATGTTTCCATATTTTGTTACAATAGCGATCTCATTCTCATCTTTTAGATCGTTATAAATATGCTGAAGTTTATACATTAACCACCTTATCTATTATACCAATAACTCCTCTTAACAACTCCTCGTACCGTTAAATTTAGAAAACATGTTATATATTATATTAAAAAAGCTTGAATGTTTGAAAATACTAAATTTAAATATAACTTACAGTATGAGCATTAACATAAAAAGAATGATATGAGAACGCGTATATAATAACAAGTAAGGCGATAGAAAGAACATTAATGACAAGCGCTGGAGTGCATTTTGTAAATGCAAATGTTGCAAACTAAAACCAAACCATTTATTTCAAAATTAACAGTACAAGATTCTTCTATTTAATTAACTAATTAGAAATCTAAAATATTGAGCTGTATAACAACAACACAGTTGCACATATGGATGTACATACCAGGTATGTAATACCGCCAATCAGAAGAGCCAAAATCAAAATCGCCTGAAGTTCAACGAGTTTTGTTCGTTTATAAGGCCACAAGCCAATCGAGAGCAGAAGAATCCGATTGAATCTAAAATAGGTATTGATGCAAATCATCACTCTACGAGAAACAGTACGCGTTTGACTGCAAAAACGTACTGAAAAAGATTCGCATATCCCACTCTCTCAAATATTCAGAATATTACATAATTTTTCTTCTTTAGCGTAAATACTAAATTGCTTAATTTTGCATAAATTTAACATGAGGTGGTAGACAAATTGCCATCGTGAGATTCGGACACTCGCAGTTTGATGGAAACGCACGTTTTGCATGGAAAAAAGTACGAGTGATTAAGCGATCGATAGAGAAGACGTCGAGGGAGAGTCACCTGCGATGCTTATGTCCCGTAAAAAGAATGCTTACACCACACTTCTTCATCAAAGTTCACGCAAGCGCAGTTGTCCTTTCTCATCGTGGAAGTTTTATACTTCATTCCATTGTTCCGCTAACTTATAAGACGTGTATTAACCTGACCTACTGTCGAGCGTGAGCGCGCGGTGAGATGCGTCCACCCATCGGCCGCCACTCGAGGCGGTGCGCGGCGAAGGGTAAGTTTTGATAATTTTTACCTTGGCGAAAAGCTCCAGAGACATTACGAACAATCCGCCAACATTCAGGGTAACAACTCTGCTGCCCCTTTGCAAAAGACACAGTATTAAAATTTGAACACATGCAAAGGTGCTACATACCACCGAACGTTGTACCTGTATTCGGATAAAAATATACTAGTCAAATGTATCCAGGTTCGATGATTAAAAATAATTAACTCTAAGTTAGTATCAATAAACTTTTATTGGATTCTCTATTTATTATCTATCATTTACTAGATAATCTATTTATCTCGCCCCTACAAAAACATATATTAAATATGTTACAGGTTATAACAGCCGTAAAACGCGCTTAGCATTATTTCCGTATTACTTTATGATAGGGATTTCGTTCTCATCTTTTAACGTGTTACAAATATGCTGAAGTTGTTTCATCAAGAACTTTACCTATAGGGTCAACAATACATTAGTTAAATAGTTAATAAAATACGGAATATTGTAAACTGCAAATCATCGAACTGTTCACTAGCGACACCTAAAAGATTTAAATATTCTCGCGCAGATTATACTAAATCGCATTAATAAATTTTCTCGATATATTAAATCGACAACTGATATATTTCACATATATATTTACTTGTTTTGAACCTTATCTATTATATTGCATATTGTAAAATGCTGTCAGATAATACTTCTACTTTCACTGTTGCATAGAATATATAACGGTGAAGTAAGATAACGATGCCTTCGTTAACTGGAATACAATGTAAACTAGAAAAGAATGTCTTGTACGATACTATTTATGCCGAATGTCGAATATGCACGCAATATGTTGAACGTAACATACAATACATATAGTTATTTTTTACCGTGGCGAATAGTTCGATGGAGAATGAAAACAGTCCACCAATAGACGGACAGAAAGGTTTGGTGCCATTTTGCAAGATAAACAGTATCATTTTTTGTATGTACGTAGGTGTTACGTACCAACGAACAGTGTATCTAGAAAGTAACAATTAAAGCAATCAAAAATTGGATAAAATAAAATCAATACCAATTTTCGTTATGAGTACCTAAGTGAATTTTAAGGCAACCAAATTTTCTTTTAATTGAAAAAACTAATTTTAATTGAGAAATTCTAACTCGTCAAATTATTATTTACATTATTTTAACATACTACTGAAATGGACAATACTTTAATCACTGACAGACAATCGGAGTCTTGAAAAAACGTTAATCACGACGACAAACGATAAATAACTCTATAAACGCATATTATTGTATTTTAAAATTTAAATATTTTTAACTGTTTGGACACAACGTTAAAAATATCTTAAAATTGGATACTGGCTATTTTTTTAAGCACTTTGTGTTTTGTATTCTTTAAGATATAAACAAAATAACACATGGTGTACATAGGTTCAAACGAAATAAAAATGGACTACAATATATTAATTTGTATCTCTTGATAAAGTCGAGCGCCAAGTTCGCGTCGGTAATTCTTACGCGGTAAGAAATACGTGATTATTGTAATCGGTAACTTCTTGTCCGGCATAATTGGATACAAACAAGATTATAAAAATTGCAATGGTAATTAGAAGATGCATATAACATTGCTCGATCTCGCCGTCACGTGACATAGTTTCAGATAACTAAAACATAAAGTAATTAATGTTTTACGTACATATATTTTACAATAAATTATTCTAGACAAGGTTGCAACAAAATCTTTTAATTTAGATATTACGATGTTAATAATTCTTTCAATTACAATATCAAGTCAAAAGAATCATTTAATATTACATTAACATTACATCTAATAACGTAGAAACTCACTCTATAAAGATTGCAGCTCAAACAAATTACACCAACTACTGTTACGCCAAGTAGTAATCCTTTAAAAGCGGAATATACGAGCATAATAAAACTTTAACAAAAAGAAAATATTATTACGTGCATTTATTATTGTTGTTAGGTAAGAAATACTAACTGGACAGCTTGGCGATGAATATCGACAGCACATGCAATTTCCTTACAAATTATAATCTCATTTTCCAAGCTAATATTCTTCAGCATGTTTATCATCATTGCCTTTTCGATGCGGTAACTGTAAAAATTTTTTGTTACGCACAATTAACCAAACACAAAAAGAAAAATGATTTGTTTTTATATTTTATATTGTCTAGAAAAATGTTTTCAATCGTCATAAGAAAAACAGAAAAGGCTAGTTAAAAAAAGTGATATGTTCAAAATAGTTTTCCTCTACATTATATGTATAAAAAAATCGCGATACATATCTACAATTTAGTATAATAATATTTATTCTACCAAAATAGACACTCCTGTAATAAGAGAACTATGTTACACAATCAAATAATTATTAATGTCTTCACCTGGCTATTCTAAACATTCCACAGGTATGTTTGATATATGACACAAGCATCGTTCCTGTTGCTACTACAGTAGTACCTCCTATAGAAGCAGATGCGAATAAAGTCGGAATTATTAAATATAGAAAGCTTTCTCGCCCAATGAAGTACTTAGGTATAACTTTCTGCATAACGTAACGTGATTCAGACTTGTCTACGAGCAAGGTAGTATCAAGAAGTTGCAGTAAAAACGTCAATAACAGGACAGTAATTACACAGCAAACTTCAAACACTAAGATATAAAAAGAAGAAATTTTTTTACAACATTGCTTCTCTTATTTTTTTCGAATAATATTGTTTCAGGCTATTTCGTGCATTAACCAATTCACAATGTTAATGCAAGCTAATAATCTCAAAGTGTCCAAATTTATCATTTTAATTAATTATTCAACTATTAATATTAATATAATAATTGGAAACAAAAAATCTTATCGTGCTAATATACCTTCATTCCATTTTATTCTTAAAATTTTTACTTACGCGACATCCTTTAATATGTTAACATATACATATAGTATAGTAAAATGGTTAAGGCGATTTTTCTGACGATCGCAAACTAGTTCGCTTGATAAGTGATTAAATATTAATAAATGTTGTCTTACACATCATTATAGCCGTGAAACGTTTTGCGATGTTTCCATATTTTGTTACAATAGCGATCTCATTCTCATCTTTTAGATCGTTATAAATATGCTGAAGTTTATACATTAACCACCTTATCTATTATACCAATAATTCTTCTTAACAACGTACCGTTAAATTTAGAAAACATGTTATGTATTATATTAAAAAAGCTTCAATGTTTGAAAATACTAAATTTAAATATATAACTTACAGTATGAGCATTAACATAACAAGAATGGTATGAAATCGCATATATAATAATAAATAATGCGATAGAAAGAACATTGACGACAAGCGCTGGAGTGCATTTTGTAAACGCAAATGTTGCAAACTAAAACCAAACCATTTATTTCAAAATTAACAGTACAAGATTCTTCTATTTAATTAACTAATTAGAAATCTAAAATATTGAGCTGTATAACAACAACACAGTTGCACATATGGATGTACATACCAGGTATGTAATACCGCCAATCAGAAAAGCCAAATTCAAAATTGCCTGAAATTCAACGAGTTTTGTTCGTTTATAAGGCCACAAGCCAATCGAGAGCAGAAGAATCCGATTGAATC